TATGGGCATTTCTCATGCTGCACCTGCCACACTGTACTTATGGATGGCTTTAATACATTTGTCTCTCCTATGAGATCGCTCACCTCTAAGCCAGGTGGAGGGCAGGAGAACCCTCTGCAGTAGAACCAATACACACACACACACACACACACACACACACACACACACACACAATCACTTCCCTCTACTAAGAGAGAGAGAGATTTATTTAAAAAGCAATTGGCTCACAAGATTATGGAGGCTTGGTAAGTCCAACAGGACAGGCTGGTGGGCTGGAGACCCAGGGAAGAGTTGCAGGCCAAATCCAAATGCATTTTTCTAGGAGATTTCCCTCTTCTTCCAGGTAGATCAGGTTTGGTGCCCCCCCACCCGCCACCCATTAAGGTCTTCAACTGATTTGACGAGGCCCACCCCTTGTGGAGCATAATCTGCTTTACTCAAAGTCTACGGATTTGTTAATCTCATTCAGAAAACACCTTCACAGACACATCAAGAATAGTGATTGACCACATATCTGGGTACGGTGGCCCAGCGAAACCGCCACACACAGTTATTCATCACAACCTCTGGATCCCATGGAGGTCAGGGGGTGACACCAGAAAGGCCAAGTTGGGAAGGGAGTGAGGCGGAGCAGGTATTCCCCGGCACCTCGCATCCCGCAGAGCTGCCCAAGGACAGGGTGATTGACGCCAAGGTCCCTTCATGGGATGCAGGTGGACGACAACGGGGCCCAAGACCACAAAGCACATTCACTGTCCTGGTTACTCCACTCTCTGTAGCTGGGAGTCCACTGGCCCACAGCAAGAGCCTGCGGCAAGCCTGACCGGGGGTTCATGATGAGCTTGGAGACACGGTGCTGAAGGCAGAGCCAAACCCAGGCACTGGGGACCCTGGCTCTGGCTTCAGCAGCACCGGCACCAGCAGTGCAGGTGGAAAGTGCCTTTGCTCACAGGGAGCTCACTCTTTCTGCGTGACAGTGTATGGTCCCCCAGCTAAGACCTATGCTCCCAGATGCCTGGGATGATGAGAAAGTTCTGGAAATGGATAGTGATATGGGCTGCACAGCACTAGGAATAAACTTCCTGCCACTGAACAGACACTTACAAATGGCTAAAACAGTAAACTGTATATGCTATGCACATTGTGCCACCATAAAACAGAAACGCTCCTTGAGGACAGGCCCATGCCTTTCCTTAACAAACCCGCCCCATTCACAATACACATTCCACTCCTCACCATTCTTCCTACTAGAGTCCACCAGATGGCCAAAGGCAAAAGTCCCGGGGCGTAGCAGTGGGAACTGACTCCACAGAGTAACGTGAATGGCTCTGAGCATTGCAGGATTCAGGGTCAAGTGGCCGGTGCATGGTGGACCACCAAGACAGACATTTTGGGCGGAAGCACTCTGAAGGTGAGTGGACCTGCAGGTCAGCTCCACGGATGCCAAGTGGGAGCCCAGGTCCAGCCGTCTGAGCCAGCACCTCTGTAAGAGCTGGCTGGGGGAAGGTCCGGAAATCAGCTCTGGGGGCAGACGGTGTCTCTGTACCCAGTGGGATGCCGCTGACACGGGGGTCCCTCGCACCCTCTGCAGCTCCCAGAGCTCAGCAGCCCCATCCGCTGCTCCTTCCTCCTGAAAACGTTTTACCCCCACCTCCTGTGCTCTCAGAAATAGAAGACTATGAATCCTTAACTTCCAGACTAAGCCCGTATAATCTCTCCTTCTACCTCGCCCCTACCACATCCCTCCCCCATAGACCTTTCCTGGGAAAGCACTGAAAAACACCAGAGTTCTTCTAAACAACCCTCACCATTAGTCTTATTATGATTTTTTAAAGATTTTATTTGAGAGAGGGAGAGAGAGCGAGCACACAAGTGGGAGAGGCAGAGGGAGAGAATTCCAAGCTGACGCCCTGTTGATCGGGGAGCCCAAGGCGGGGCTCGATCCCACAGCCCCGAGATCACAACCGGAGCCCAAACCAAGGGTCGGACGCGCAACCAACTGCACAACCCAGGCGCCCCAGTACTATTTTTGTCTAGCTGTTGGCACGCCCTCGTCTCCCAGATGCCCTTGTGGGGAGAGGAGCCCCCATCGGAGGCACAGACAGGACGAGTCGGCCGCGCTGAGCTCCTGCTTCTTTCCCACTAAGCCTCCCTGAGCCGCCAGAGAAATCACTGACCAACGTGCCACTTTCTTCCCTCCCCATCCCTTCACCCAGAGTGTTCCAAACAGAGCTCAGCCTCAGCCTGACGGGGCTTCAGAAGGACGCAGTCCGGCCAACGAAAGCTGAACCTTGGGGGATGAAACAGCGAAGTTGAAGCAAGGCCTTGGTTTCTGCTAGAGACGCACCTACACGCCCACGGTTCCTCTAAGACATCAGCTCAGTGCGATCTCAGGAGCTAGAAGGGAGCGGCCCGGCCAGCTCTGCGGGCCCGAACTGGTGGGCCCTGGGTCTTTTATGTCAACACAAAATCAACCGCCACAGAAGCTCAGTGGCATGTGGAAAAGCCCCACAGCTCGTGGGTTTTCAGACCCGAGGGATGTGGCCTGGACACCCTCGTGGGCAGAATAGAGAAGCCCAAGGAGACTCCCGCACGGGTCGGGTCGGATTTCCTCATGTGTCTACTCCAGCTCGCATCCCACTGGCCGCAGCAAAACATGCAGCCAACCTCAGACAGGCATGGCGCAGCAGACGGAAAGCAGCAGAATGGCAAAGGGCCTTTCGTGCCAGAGGCTGGCCGTGGCCTCCCGAAGGCTCAGCAGCCAGGCTTCTCGGCTGCAAAGTCACGGAGCAGGAGAATGTATTTGACAAACTAAAATGAAGACAGTGTTCTTGTGCACCCAGCCCCACACATTTGCAAAGAGGGGGACCACAGGATCCTGCAGCAGCGGGGACCTCGCCGATGAGCAACCCCAGCCCTTCCCTCCGTGGGGAGGATGCTCGGATCCAGAGCCACTCTGGGAAGCGGCAGGAGCGGGACCGCTGCTGGCCCCCAGGACAGGGAGGGCAGAGGTGGCCTGGGGGTCATGGGACAGCAGCAGCAGGAAGTGCCAGCTCTGCGCGGCCCAGTGCGAGCCTCGGTGGGCACCCCACGTGGGCACCTGGGGTGAGGACCTCCATCGACCCTCCAGCGCTCACACCGCACAGGCTGACGGGAGATGCGGGGGGATGGAGGCATGCAAGCTCTCCTGGGGAAAGTACTGCTCACCCCACCCAGCTGCCCAGGCTGCGGACTTTCCAAACTCCTCAGACCAAACTCAGGATGTGGAGAACCAAGGGAAGGGGAACTAAAGAGAACCCTCTCCAGGCCACACGGCACTCCTCCGTGCACCCCGGCTCCTCACAGGGAAGGCGTCCTTCCCCGCCGTGCTGCCCACCTCGGGCCCCTTCCCTGGGACCAAGGGACAAAGAGGCCCTGGGGAGACCAAGACAGTCCTTGGCCCACCCCGTCACGGGACAGCTTGTGGCCGGAGGGTAACGGCTCGTGTTGCCCCCAGCCACGGTGTAAAGCCTGACTGCTGCTCAGTTCTGGCTCTGAATACAGCCCCTTGCACGGCAGCAAAGACTCCTAAGATCAGAAAGTTCTAGAAACACAAGGAAACTTCAAGGTACCCATCCAACCTTTTTATCGACGGGGATTTTATAGATTTGACAGAAATTGGGAAGAACATGTCCCGAGGGAGAGTTCTGTGGCCTGTCCAGGTAATAGGCCTGACCTGTAGCCACTGAGTGCTTCCAGAGAAAAGTGGTGCAGAAGCACACAGAGCCTACAAGGGCAGGTGTCCGAGGAAGCAGGGCTGTGTCTCCACATACCGGTGTCCGGCTCAGCACTGCAGTGGACAGGTGCTCGGGAAGTACTTACTCCAACGAAGACCAACGTTCCTTAAGGGTTATATAAAACGAAACTCACTCCCGTCTCCAGTGAGTGTCACTGCAAAGGACACCATGGAGGTGACAAGAACCACTGGACAGGGGGGCCCAGGCTGCACATGCAGAGTAAATCCCGCTGAGGGACAGGTCCACTGTGTGAACAGCCAGAAGCCTATGCTCAAGTTGGTGCAAGTCTGGGGTCCCACTGGTGATCCCGGCCCCCACCCAAGCTCAAGGTCCCCCACGCCCACAGGGAAAGCAGGGAAGGTCCTTCTTAGCAGCCACGTTTGCCTGGAGCATGTGTGCTTCCCTTCCTGTGGCGAGGAGATGCCGCCTGAATCTTCCCATGACTCCTCCTCTGGCTCAGGGGGGAAGGAGCGTGAGATCCCTGGGCCTCGGGTCCGGGCCAGCAAGCTGGTGAGGGCGGTGAGGTGGGGTCAGCTGTGACTGCCAGGCTGGCAGGACTGACCGACGGGAGAGGGTATCCCCGCGCGGCAGGGCAGGAGAAAGCAGCACGGGGCCAGGAGCTGTCACTCAGATGCACATTCTGGCCCGGGCCATCTCCCACCTTCTCCTTTGTGCACACCACACCCCGGCTGATCCCAGTGGCCAGACACCAGACAGGACACTTTCTCCTCTCCCGAAAGCCACATCCGTGCCTGCCTGAAGCAGAGCGGAGCCCGGGCGCGGGCGGCCCTGCCAGCTCAGAGGACAGGTCCTCACGGAGCCCCATCTAACCAGCTGGCTGCTGGGGGCCTGTGAAGAAGGATTCCTCAGGACAGGAAGAGGGGGGACAGAACCCAGCAGGTCAGGGGCAGGAGGGGTCTTCTGGGACCGACACACATTGTGTCCTCAAGAGACATGGAAGTCACCTCCTGTGACCAGCTCTTTGGGTGAAGCCTCCGGCCTTGAGATCAGGGTCCGAGCCGTGATGAGGGTTTATTGTTGTTACTGAGCCAGAAGGGCCGGACAGGATGGGGAAGAACATGCGGGGCAGTGTCGGTGGTCCCAGTGTCCCCATGAGGAGCCCCAGCCTGGCCCCAGTCTCTGCGGCAGGTCCTGGGGAAGCCCCGGAAAGGGGTAAGCGAGCAAGCTCATCCCTGGGCCTCCCAGGGCCGTCCCCGGGCTCACCTGGATAATGAAGCCAGTGGAAGAGCACTGCCTGACCCAGAGGCTGAATTTCCGCTTTTTCCTCTTTCGGAGTTCCCGCTCCGTGCACGTGGCAATGAACACAGGGTCCTCGTCAATCAGGGGTTCATGTAGCACCTGCCAGGAACAAAACAGCAGAGATGCTCACGGAAGGCAACATGAGCTTGGGGTGGGGTCATCTGATCGGTGCTCAAATCGAGTCCCTGCCTTTGACCGGCTGTGTGACCTGCGTCACTGTACCTCTCCGATCCTGAGTCTCCTCATCTGTAAGAGGGTAACATCTACGCCAGTGTTTTGGGGAGCACAGAGTAAGAAACCACATGCATGGGACCTCGCATGGGCCTCGACATACAGCAGGTATTTAGTGAATGGAAATTTAAAAAGTAATTCTATTTTTATTTTACATATTTATAAAATGATACATATTTAACGTGTATACTTATATATTCATATATTTAATGTGACAATTATAATAATAATTATCATTATTAGGTCCCCAGTGCAAGCTCTTTCTTGGTAGCGGGATTGCCAGGGGACCTGACTCCGAGCTGGGCTTGCCCAACTGTTTTCAGGAAGGACCCTCCTGACGGACACCTCGCACTGCTAAAAAGTCCTTTCCCTCACAGATTCAGATTTACCTGAATTTAATCTAAGCCTACTGATCTGACTTCTGTCCCTGTGAAGAACAAAGGAAAATATACACTATTTCTTCAGGCATTCCAGACCACTCTTGCGCTGGCCCACAACCCCCTTGCTCCCCCAGGGCTCAGCGATCTCTCCTTCGAGCCTGTCCTGAAATGAAGCCGGTGTCTTGTGGCCTCGTCGCCACAACCCAGCCTCTGGCTCTCCTCCACACTGTCGTGTCCTTCCGGACGCGGGATTCCCAAGGCAATTTTTAAACCTACTCCGCCTTTTCCAATTTCTTTATAACATGGTTGGAAGATGTTGTCAATGACAAGACCATAAAGTAAAAAGAAATGGCTCCTTGGGGTGGTCCAAGTTTGGCTTCTTCAAGCTGAAGTGTTTCTGGGGAGACTTTTGGGTACATTTAGGAATCCACTACACTTCTCCCCACCCCGATCCTATTTCAAGCCTAATACTCATTGGCGAGTGTGTCTGAATTTCACTGAAATGAAGCGAAGGAGAAATGACAGGATTCCCAGACCTCAAGCCGATGCCCTAGATCGGGGCCAGCAAACTGTGATACAGTCTGGTTCACTGCCTCTTGCAAATAAAGTTTTATTGGGATCTGCCGTGTTGTCAACGGCTCTCCTGGACTAGGAAAGCAAATCACACAAGACGCAGCAGAGACCAGGTGGCCGCTGATAGATGACGTGGACCAGCCCCAGCTCTCCGCCGGGGCTCCTGGAATTTTAAGGAACAAACCAGTCACCTGCAGTCTCCCTAAAGGGCAGATTCTGATTGAGTCACTCTGGGGCAGGGCCCAAGCTTCTGCACATCCAGCGAGCTCCTGGGTAAGGTCAGAACGCGCTCCGACAAGAGCCGACTGGAGGACAACACTCACCGGCTGTGACGTGGACAGTACCTCCCACACCTCCATTAATGCTCCCCTGAATTCCACTCAAAGAACAACAACAGACCTGTGGGGTTCAGTCTGGCCCCCAAGCTGTTCTGTTGTTGAAAGCACGCGGGCAATTAACCTGGCCACCCCATCGTGTGCTCAGGAAGGGGAGGGCTGGCGGAGCTTCTGGGCCACAGTGCCTCCCCAGGCCCCCACGCCTTGCTGACTCCGTGGGCCCATAAAACATTCAAAGCCCCGTTTGGAAACACTGTAGCAAAAGGGACAAGTCCCACAGGCTGTTGGGACAGGGAGCGGGCGGGGGATGGTGGGGAAAGGGCAGAGAGAAGCCCTGCGGCCGCCCGCCTGCTCCGGCTCAATGACCGCAGCTCAAGAAGCAGGTCCTACTCGCCCCCTCCTTGAGGCCACAGCGCATAGAACTGGTGTCGCTCCCTCATCTTCAGGAAACCAATGGAGCTCGAGTCCGTGTGCACTTATGCAGAAGCAGCCACACACTGTGTCCCATCACACGCCCCACCGAAGCTCGCTGCACGAAAGCCGGGCCTGCCAGAACGCCTCTTCCCTCTCCTCCAGGGTGCCGGCCGGGCAGCAGCACTGTCCCCCGGCTGTGCACCCTGAGTGCCCCGACTCTGTCTGACAAGCTCATTTTGCGTGTGGAGTGATTACGGTACAGGAAAGACAAAGCAGCCGCTTACCTACTTGCATAATCCCCTCCCGAAAAGAGTCTTCTAAGGACCCTGTCCAGTTCTGAGGAAATGCCTCGTCTCCCCCCGATTTGTGCATAAACGTGTGTGTGGGCACGCACGCGCGCACACACACAGGACACGTGGCGCGTGGGGTACTGTTAGACTCCGAGAACCATCGGGCTTCTGAAGGGCCTGTGGAAGTTCTAAGCACATCTCGGAGGGTCATGGAGGAGCCCGGAGGAGATGGGCTCCAGAGATGGAAGGGTCAGGTGTGTGTGGTGTGCAAGGCAAGCGTGCCGTGTGTTTCGAGGACGGAGTGTGTGTGAGGCAGCAGGATGTGGACGGACGCCCGGGAGCCTGGAGCAGATCCACCCACACGTGACGGAGAACTGTGCCCGCGGCTCTCAGCAGGCGGAGTGAAGACCCTTCCCAGGGGCCCTGAGGCTCCGGCGTGGCGCACGGCCACCCTCAACCAAACACACTCTTCGATCCCCTTCTACCTGAACGAACGTTCCAGAGTCTAAACAGGGGCTTTCTGCAGAGGAGAAAAGGTGCAACACTGGGAAACCTTTGGAACTTCCAGCTTCTCCCATCAATATCAGAACAGGGACCTTTTCTACGACACAGAAGCATCTTCAAGAAGAGAGTAAGTGCTGGGGGGGCTGATGCTGGGGGCCGAGGGAAAGCGCCCCTGCCCCTGGGTGAACTCACGGGAGGCTACGGTCTGTTCCACACAGGAAGGCTAGTGCTTTCAGGTACACACAGGGCCAAGCTGTTTATCTGCAAAGGAAGGCGTCCGAGGACTTGTAGGAACCCCCGGCCTAATCATGTTCAAAGTCAGTCAGATACTGCCGTTCATGAGCATGTATCCTCTGGTTTGACCCTGCTCCTGCCTGTGGATCCAAGGCTGGCTCAGCGGGGCCCACAGCCAGGAAGCAGATGGAGAAGGAGAGGAGAATTCCGTCTGATGATCTGCCAACAGAAAAACTGGTCCAAGGGTTCTTTGAGTTTCCCGCTGCCTTGTGCTCCTGTCTGTGGGGTGGAGAGTCCTGGGTCTTCTGCTTACCCTCAGGATGTGTGTCCCATCCTTCCCACCCCGCACTGTGGTCCGGAGGCCAACCTCTTCTAACCCACACCATCCAGGTCCCTGGCCCAGTGCTGGACTTGTTTGGCCAACTTGGAGGTGGGAACAAGGCATGGATGAGGTCTCCTATCTGCCCACGCTGTCACCCCTATGTTCCTTCGCATGCCCCCTCTCTCCCAGGCCCACAGTTGACCTCGGGTTCCCACTGTCACTACCACCCCAAGTCATGTCCCCCGGCCCTGGCCATGTGACTCTCCACAGTCCCCGCATCCAATCCTCCTCAGCTCTTCGTCTAGAACACAGGACTGCTTCCTGCAGGGATCCTGACCCACACAAGGCACTGGTTACAAAATGGTAGCAAAAAGAAAACAACTTCACAAATACAGAGGTAAAAATAAAAATCAAATACAAAGTCCATTTTTAAAAAAGAAAGGAAAGTGGAAAAAAAAATCCCCAACATGACCAGGGAGCCCCTCTCCAAACTGAGACTTTCTCAGGACCTTCTCTCAGCCTCATCAACCAGATGCAAGAAGACGGGGTCGGCACCTTGCTTAAGAATGCTTGGATCAACCAGGAGATCAAAGAAGAACTTAAACAATTCATGGAAACCAATGAGAATGAAGACACTTCGGTTCAAAACCTATGGGATACAGCAAAGGCAGTCCTAAGGGGGAAATACATAGCCATCCAAGCCTCCCTCAAAAAAACTGAAAAAGTCAGAATACACCAGCTGTCTCTACATCTTAAAGAACTGGAGAATCAACAACATATCAAACCAACTCCACACATAAGAAGGGAAATAATCAAGATTAGAGCAGAGATTAGAGCAGAGATCAATGAGGTAGAAACCAGAGATACAGTAGAACGTATCAATGAAACTAGAAGCTGGTTTTTTGAAAGAATCAATAAGACTGATAAACCATTGGCCACACTAATACAAAAGAAAAGAGAGAAAGCCCAAATTAATAAAATTATGAATGAAAAGGGAGAGATCACAACTAACACCAAGGAAGTAGAAACAATCATCAGAAGTTATTATCAACAGTTATATGCCAATAAGCTATGCAACCTAGATGAAATGGATGCATTCCTGGAAAACTATAAACTCCCAAAATTGAACCAGGAAAAAATTGACAACCCGAATAGACCGATATCTAGTAATGAGATTGAAGCAGTGATCAAAAACCTCCCAAAAAACAAGAGCCCAGGACCTGACGGATTCCCTAGGGAATTCTACCAAACTTTCAAAAAAGAAATAACACCTATTCTCCTGAAGCTGTTTCAAAACATTGAAGCAGAAGGAAAACTTCCAGACTCTTTTTATGAAGCCTGCATTACCCTGATCCCCAAACCAGGCAAAGACCCTACCAAAAAGGAGAATTTCAGACAAATATCACTGATGAATATGGATGCTAAGATTCTCAATAAGATCCTAGCAAACAGGATCCAACAGCACATTAAAAAGATTATCCACCATGACCAAGTGGGATTCATCCCTGGGTTACAAGGATGGTTCAACATTCGCAAATCAATCAATGTGATAGAACAAATCAATAAGAGAAGAGAGAAGAACCACATGGTCCTCTCAATTGATGCAGAAAAAGCATTTGACAAAATCCAGCATCCGTTCCTGATTAAAATGCTTCAAAGTATAGGGATAGAGGGAACATTCCTGAACTTCATAAAATCTATCTACGAAAGACCCACAGCAAATATCATCCTCAATGGGGAAAAGCTCGCAGCCTTCCCGTTGAGATCAGGAACACGACAAGGATGCCCACTCTCACCACTCTTGTTCAACATAGTATTAGAAGTCCTAGCAACAGCAACCAGACACCAAAGAGAAATAAAAGGTATCCAAATTGGCAATGAAGAAGTCAAACTCTCTCTCTTCACAGATGACATGATTCTTTATATGGAAAAACCAAAAGACTCCACCCCCAAACTACTAGAACTCATACAGCAATTCAGTAAAGTGGCAGGATACAAAGCCAATGTACAGAAATCAGTGGCTTTCTTATACACTAACAATGAAAATACAGAAAGGGAAATTAGAGAATCGATTCCATTTACTATAGCACCAAGAACCATAAGATACCTGGGAATAAACCTAACCAAAGAGGTAAAGGATCTGTATTCGAGGAACTACAGAACACTCATGAAAGAAATTGAAGAAGACACAAAAAGATGGAAGACCATTCCATGCTCTTGGATCGGAAGAATAAACATTGTTAAAATGTCTATACTGCCTAGAGCAATCTATACTTTCAATGCCATTCCAATCAAAATTCCACCAGTATTTTTCAAAGAGCTGGAGCAAATAATCCTAAAATTTGTATGGAATCAGAAGAGACCCCAAATTGCTAAGGAAATGTTGAAAAACAAAAATAAAACTGGCGGGGGGCGCCTGGGGCTCAGTGGATTAAGCCGCTGCCTTCGGCTCAGGTCATGATCTCAGTGTCCTGGGATCGAGCCCCCCATCGGGCTCTTTGCTCAGCAGGGAGCCTGCTTCTCTCTCTCTCTCTGTCGGACTCTCCACCTACTTGTGATCTCTCTCTCTGTCAAATAAATAAATAAAATCTTTAAAAAATAAATTAATTAATTAATTAATTAATTAAATAAAATAAAACTGGCAGCATCATGTTACCTGATTTCAAGCTTTAGTACAAAACTGTGATCACCAAGACAGCATGGTACTGGCATAAAAACAGACACATAGACCAGTGGAACAGAGTAGAGAGCCCAGATATGGACCCTCAACTCTATGGGCAAATAATCTTCGACAAAATAGGAAAAAATATACAGTGGAAAAAAGACAGTCTCTTCAATAAATGGTGCTGGGAAAACTGGACAGCTAGATGTAGAAGACTGAAACTCGACCATTCTCTTACACCATACACAAAGATAAACTCAAAATGGATAAAAGACCTCAACGTGAGACAGGAATCCATCAGAATCCTAGAGGAGAACATAGGCAGTAACCTCTTCAATATCAGCCACAGCAACTTCTTTCAAGATATGTCTCCAAAGGCAAAGGAAACAAAAGCGAAAATGAACTTTTGGGACTTCATCAAGATCAAAAGCTTCTGCACAGCAAAGGAAACAGTCAACAAAACAAAGAGGCAACCCACGGAATGGGAGAAGATATTTGCAAATGACAGTACGGACAAAAGGTTGATATCCAGGATCTATAAAGAACTCCTCAAACTCAACACACACAAAACAGACAATCATATCAAAAAATGGGCAGAAGATATGAACAGACACTTCTCCAATGAAGACATACAAATGGCTATCAGACACATGAAAAAATGTTCATCATCACTAGCCATCAGGGAGATTCAAATTAAAACCGCATTGAGATACCACCTTACACCTGTTAGAATGGCCAAAATTAGCAAGACAGGAAACAACGTGTGTTGGAGAGGATGTGGAGAAAGGGGAACCGTCTTACACTGTTGGTGGGAATGCAAGTTGGTACAGCCACTTTGGAAAACAGTGTGGAGATTAAAAAGATTAAAAGAAATTAAAAATAGAGCTTCCCTATGACCCTGCAATTGCACTACTGGGTATTTACCCCAAAGATACAGATGTAGTGAAAAGAAGGGCCATCTGTACCCCAATGTTTATAGCAGCAATGGCCACGGTCGCCAGACTGTGGAAAGATCCAAGATGCCCTTCAACGGACGAATGGATAAGGAAGATGTGGTCCATATACACTCTGCAGTACGATGCCTCCATCAGAAAGGATGAATACCCAACTTTTGGAGCAACATGGACGGGACTGGAAGAGATGATGCTGAGTGAAATAAGTCAAGCAGAGAGAGTCAATGATCATAGGGTTTCACTTATTTGTGGAGTATAACAAATAACATGGAGGACATGGGGAGATGGAGAGGAGAAGGGAGCTGAGGGAAATTGGAAGGGGAGGTGAACCATGAGAGACTATGGACTCTGAAAAACAACCTGAGGGTTTTGAAGGGGCGGGGGGTGGGAGGTTGGGGGAGCCAGGTGGTGGGTATTAGAGAGGGCACGGATTGCATGGAGCACTGGGTGTGATGCAAAAACAATGAATACCGTTACGATGAAAAGAAATTAAAAAATAATAATAAAAAAAAAGAAAAGACGACGGGGTCGGAGGGGGGTGGGGTAAGAATGAAGCGAAAGGGTCTTGGCGGTCCTTGCTGCGCATCTGAGCCATGCGAGGGAGGAGGGCAGAGCTGCCCAGGGGAGCTGCAGTCACCCATGGCTCGGGGATGGGCTGCACCCCCTCAGGGCACCCATGCCTGGGCTGGGAAGGGACGGGCTCGCAATCTCGGATTTTGCCAGCAGGCACTGCCGTGTGCCCACAAGCTACCCCAGGCTCCGGACACACACATGCACAGGGATCGTCCTGGGGATGGGGCTCGGGTATCTGACACCGCAGTTTCCGAAGGCAGACAGCACGGGGCCAGCTCACAGCAGCACACCCCAAACAGGAGCGTAACTCTGGATAAGCCTGGCCTAGTCGAGGAGCTAGAAGAATCCTCAGCACTCTTGTCTTTACACTGTTAAGTATCAGTCATCCAAGCAGCTGGTTGTTGGGTTCTTAAGAGATACTCAGCTGGAGCGAGCCCACAGCCTCTGCCAGTAGCTGTTCAAATGTTTGGCCCCGAGGATGGTCAGAATACTGCTCTTTTCCATTTGCGTCCAGCCAGTAGGGCTCTGGTCTGGTTCATTTCCAACCACGCAAATATTCAGTGAAACAAACCAAAAAACGTGCTGAGCCCTGTGCTTGGTCCTGTGGGGCCTGTATAAGGCAGGGCTTGTGTCCCGAAAGGAGTCCACCTCCTGTTTGGAAGGTAAGAGCCACAACGGGAGACAAGGAAGAGTGGGACTCAGCTGCCCTATAAAGAGTGGGGGAATTCAGGAAAGCGGAGCCAGCATGGGAGTGCAGGCCTTGCACTGGACCCCAGAGACTGGGTACATCTGCTGAGGCGGAGAGAAGAGGGAGAAGCTTCTGGGAGTCAGAAAGAGCATGGCAAACACCTGGAAATCATAATGAGCCCAGCGCATTTGCAGAACAGCAGGCGGAACACTTCCAGAAACTGGTTACAGGCTCCCACAGACCTGAAATAGGACGATATCTTCCCCCACAAAAACCCTGTGTTTTTTCAGCTGCACAGGAAAAAAAGGCATGATACAGAGTCAAAACGGATTTGAGCTTTAGGAAGAAGGCCCTTAAAGGAAAAGCACAAGAAAGAGTGGGTAGACCGAGAGCCCTTTAAGTGTACAAATAAAAATGATGTCAGTTTTTGTTTCTGCATCGAACGGGTCAGGGAAATCAGACTCCCATGGGCCAAAACCTCCCTCAAGCTTTGGTTAGAGGCATCCCCGAAACAAGCCACCTCCTCAGTTGCTAGACCGGCTCTCCAGTTTTGAGGTCGGTTCTGAACCTCGAATCTCCCTGCAGCCCGGGGTACCGGCCACACATCAGCACCAGCAGGCAGGGGCTCGGGAGCTGAGAACAAACAGCACCTTCTAGAAACAGGGAGGGAAGCTGGGAAGGGGGCCATAACGGCTAGGTGTGGGGCTCTACTGGACCCCCGCACCCGAATGACTCCCGGGTACCTGACAAGTGGCTGAGATTCCAGCCTCCCTCCCCGTGCCGCCTCCCTGGCCTCACCCCTTCCACCAGCAGCAGCGGGGTACACGCTCAGAGAACACGGGCTAGTTACCATCACAGGTTCTCCTTCATGGAAGAACAGGCACATCGGCCTGTCAAACATGTGACCTGGAAAGATAGCACCACTCCGGGGAGGGAGGGTGTGGGCGAGGAGGAGGGAAACCGAGTCCGAGCAGAACCCCTGCTTTCTGACCTTGCTGGGGCTGGGAGCGCTGAGTCTGGGCTGGGGGCGGGGGGACAGAGAAGGGCAGGGGCACCCTCCGGGTGACAACGGGCTGCCACCGGGGAGGCCCGGGGTGGGGGCGCTCACCTGGGTTTGGGAAGGCCTGAAGGCAGAGTCGAAGCTGTTCTGCAGGGAGTCGAGGAAGGGCTGGACCTTGTAGAGGCCGTGCGTGGTCTGGCTGGAGCGGAAGGCCACCACGTGGAAGTACTTGAGAATCTTCTCGAAGCGGGCCTGGCTCATGACCAGGGCGAGGCTCCGGTTGCTGTAGAAGCCACCGCTCCAGATGCTCAGGACCGACTCGCAGTGGGAGATGCTGGTGGAGATCATGTAGCCCAGGAACGCCTTCATCTCCGTCAGCGTCACCTCGGCCCAGGCGCCGTCGCTGCCGAAGCGCTCTTGGAACTTCTTGGCATACATGTTCGTCTGCACCACCATGTTCTTGAGCACGTTGTCCGGGACGAAGAGCTGGAAGAAGTCCATGGCGCTGGCGCCGGGCGGCATCTTTCGGGTGGGACCTGAAACAGAGGTGGCGGGGGTTGGGGGCGGGGGCGCACCGTCCCCTGCGCGCCGGGGACCCCGCACTCCCCGCACCGCACATCCCGCACCCCGCGTTCTCGCCCGGCCAGCACGGACACCGCTCCGCCCGGAAAGGGACACGCGACGGGCGGTAGGACACCAAGGGAAGGTCACCGCGCTCCAGCCCGGGGGAGGTGACTTCACTACGGATGCCGGCACCCCTCCGGGCCTGAAATGCCCGGAGACGAGACTGCCCTCGCTCTGCCCTACAACTGCACACCTGGCAACTTGAAATGTATTGCTCAGGGACGCCTGGGTGGCTCAGTTGGTTAGGCGGCTGCCTTTGGCTCAGGTCATGATCCCAGCGTCCTGGGATCGAGTCCCACATCGGGCTCCTTGCTCAGCGGGGAGCTTGCTTCTCCCTCTGCCTCTGCCTACCACTCTGTCTGCCTGTGCTCATGCTCGCTCTCTCTCTCTCTCTCTCTAATAAATAAATAAAATCTTTAAAAAAAAAAAAAAGAAATGTATTGCTCAATCTGAAGGGGATCTTTTGGATAATTTCACCAATGGTACAAAAACCTCACAGCTCTTGGCTAATGCAGGGACAGCCGTTGGAAATACACACATGCACCCTCAAGAGATAGGCTTTCACTCTGGACAACAGTATGGAGGTTCCTCAAAAAGTTGAAAGTAGAGCTACCCTATGACCCAGCAATCACACTACTGGGTTATTTACCCTAAAGATACAAATGTAGTGATCCGAAGGGGCACGTGCACCTGAATGTTTTTAGCAGCAATGTCCACAATAGCCAAACTATGGAAAGAACCTAGATGTCCATCCACAGATGAATGGATAAAGAAGATGTGGTGTGTATACACACACACACACACACACACACACACACTGGAATATTGTGCAGCCATCAAAAGAAATGAAATCTTGCCATTTGCAATGACATGGATGGAACTAGAGGGTATTATGCTGAGTGAAATAAGTCAATCAGAGAAAGAGAATGATCATATGATCTCTCTGATATGAGGAATTTAAGAGGCGGGGGGGGGTTGTCCTAGGGGGAAGGGAGGGACAAATGAAACAAGATGGGACTGGGGAGGAAGACAAACCATAAGAGACTCAATCTCAGGAAGCAAACTGAGGGTTGCTAGAGGGTGTTGGGGGGTGGGGTGATGGACACTGGGGAGGGTAGGCGCTATGGTGAGTGCTGTGAATTGTGTAAGACTGATTGATTCACAGACCTGTACCCCTGGGGAAAATAATACATTATATGTTAATTTAAAAAGAGAGAGAGATGGCTTTCAATTCCATATAGTGACTTAAGCCAGGCTAACAGTGTGGAGGGATTTGTAAGAGACAAGCTTTTTCCTTTTTTTTTTTTTTTAATCTTTTTTACATAATCTCTATGTCCAACTTGGGGCTCGAACTCATGACCTGGGAGACAGAGATCCATACTCCACCGACTAAGCCAGCCAGATAACCCTGCAGGAGATGGGCTTTGCAATTTCTAATAAAAGTTATGCACGCTCTTCAGAATTTTTACCATCTCCCCCTTTCTCCACTAGTGGTGTAGGCAGTCTCGGAAAATCAAGTTTTTCCCAGCAAAATAAGACAATGACAAGGTAGTCCAGGCTTTAGGTTAGACAGATTCGGGAGCCGAAACCCTGAATTTACTTGTAGCTAAGTGCACAGTCTTAAATAAATATCTCCAAGTGCCCCACGTGGAAAATGGAATGCCTGCTTTTCGCAAGGCTGTTGTGGAAACCTGGAAATCTTTCCTGAGGCATCAGCCACAGAAATCCTGTGACTTGGGCTGAGGGCTTTCAAATGCTCTAACTGCCCTCATTTTATAGAAGAAGAAGAAGAAGAAGAAACGGAGGCCCAGACAGCCAAGCGGCCACCATATTTACGGTTGGTCACCAGCCATTTTTTGGGAAGGGCATCAGGCCGTCTAACTGCCCTTGGCCACAAGCTGCAGTGACACTGAGGCCGGCAGCCAGTGGGGCCCCAGGTAGCAGGAACAGCCCGCTTCCCCACACCCACTCTTAGTGGAAATCATTGTGTTTCAGCGAAGACTTACAGCCTCCAGTGGGTGAAGCCATAAATTATTCAGGGGTAGCTCTCAAAGAGGAGGAAAACCAGCATTTTAATTGCTCCATCATGCTGAGTAAGCAGAATGAAATCTTCTCTTCCAAAAGTTAGCTTTAAAGGAATTTTGCCTCCCAGGCAATTTCCAAGTGAGTTCTCACAGCAAACTCTGCCCCGGCCAATGGCTTCAGGAAGCAACTGGGAAGTAGCCGGCACCCTCTTATCTGTTTGGTTTGGATTTCCGAGTCCTCTACTGTCCCCCTCCGCTCTGCCCCCCCCCACTTCCTATTTGAGAAGTGTTGGCACAGGCCAGTCACCAGGAAGAAAGGAGGGAGGGGGGAAAGGAGGAAATGCCATTCAGATTCAATCCATATCACTACCTTTGTTAATATGACCATTGAATAATATGGCCCTGGGGGTGGGCAACATCCCCAGCCAAGCTAAGCTGCTCTTATGTTTGATTCATTTATAGGAGCTTTTCCAGATTCTACCCAGGTGAGCCTCACAACGTCCTCGTCCTGGTGGATCACCATCCCCTTCTGCAGGTGAGGAACTAGAAGCTCTGAAGTATTGGGACACAGCCCCAGGTCACTCACTTCTAAGCGCCTTACAGTGAACGTGACCTTCATCCCACCTGGCCCAGACAGTCCAAGAGCACCTGCTGCCTGGGGTAATTATCTCAAAGTGTCCCTTCCGCTCTCGCGAGCGGTCAAGGAGGCATGTGGCTGATCTGTGCACAGCGTGTACACACACACACACACACACACACACACACACACGACTTCAGCCAGGTGTGTGGTCTGCGAAGCCCACCAGCTCCCTCCACCTCTGCTGGGCACAGCTTTCCCTGTGGAGGATGATGGGTTACAGCGCACAGCCAGAAGGAACTCTGAAGGAAAAGGGAGAAACTGCATTACCAAAAATGCGAAGGCAACATGGGACTGGGCATGCGGATGGGGGCAGGCTGGTAAGGGAGGGCCCAGAGGAGGAAGAGCAGGTGTATGTGTGAGCCCTTAGTGTTTGGGCTGGGGTACAGGGCTCTGCAGGTCGATGGTGCCGATGCCGCACTGCCCCATCACAAGCTCATATCATCGTCTCCCTCGTCTCCCCCTCTCCGCTCCCCTCCCCACCCCATCATGTCAGCCCTCAAGGCCCCATCACCATTGCCCGTCTGGTTCCCTCGGCCTACCAGGGATCACGTGCTCCCTCAATCCCGGGATGCCACAGCAGGCCCACAGAGCCAGGGTAGCGTCAAGAATGGCTCAGTGATGGGCTGCCCGGGTGTGCAGTCCGTTGCGCTTCCAACTCTTGGGTTTCCCCTAAAGTCATGATCTCTGAGTGGTGGGATCGAGCTCTGTGTCGGGCGCCGTGCTCAGAGGGCAGGCTGCTGGATATTTTCTCTTTCCCTCTGCCCTTCCCCTCCACCCCCCCCCCCATGCTCTCTCTTTTTAAAAAAAAAAAAAAAATCTTTTTTTTTTTTTTTTAAAGGAAGGAAGAATGGTTCACTAATGCTCAGATCCCCCAAAGAGACTCCTCCCACCACCCCAAGCTAGGAGCCAACCCCTCTTTCCAGGGGTGATTACAAGAACAGGTGTCTTGTTCAGAGAGGGGACTGTAAGGCAAGGGCAGCCGTCAGAACTGCTTACCCAGTGAACACCTCAGGGTCATACTGATCCTGGGGACAGAAAGGAGTAAGACACGGTGTTTTCTCCCCGGGCATTCTCAGTATAATGACAGGAGCAGGCAGCAGACAGTGACCCAGTGATGTCAGGCAGGGGGATGGGGGTGCCCATAAGAGGGACCTAAGTCCAGACGCTGGGGAGGTGAGGTCTCCGAAGCTCCCCAGAAGGGCCGCAGAGATGGCTGTGGACACGGAGGGGCACAGGGCTGGGGCGACCCCCACAGAGCACGCAGGGCTGTGAGCGCCGCAGGCCATGCTCATGCTTTAGGACGAACCCCTGCTGCATGCGGTACGTGGGGAGGGCCTGGCCTGTTCCTGAAGCCAGTGAGCTTGGGCAGGGACCTCACTGAAGGGTGACCACAGCGGCTCCCTCTTCTGGTCCTGCACCTCTGTGCTCCGCACCGTGCTCCACTTCCCTGTACGTGTGCTGGGCGGGGGGGAATGGACTACAAGTGACCCAGGGTCCTACAGGTGACCTGAACCCTGGGGCCAGGGCCTCCACCAGCCAGCGACCCTTACCGGTGTATCCTTTCCATTTGCACCAGGACATGAGCGAGGCTGGTATCTTAAACCACACGAGTCCGAACTGAAACTCCAGATCCCTCGTCCTCTCCCTTTCTTCTCCTCCCCGTCAGCTCCCTCTGGTTACTTCAGGCAGAAACCTGAACCACCGTGGATTCCTCCCCCCACACCCCCACCCCCACATCCAGCCAGTGGGCACATCCGGCCACCCCCACCTCTACAGTGTGTCATCAACCGCCCACGGCGGCGCTCTGGCCCAGGGGCCACCACCTCTGGCCTAGAAGACAAAAACAGCCTCCCCCAAATGATTCCTAGCAACGAGAAAAAATTTTTAAGGAATGTAAACCAGATCACAACACTCCACTGCTTCATTAAAACTCTCCTGTGACTTAAAGCACATGAAGCCCTGCCTCCCAGGCCGCTCTCCAAGGCCAGGCAAGAAGGTGCGCAGGCCCTGTCAGGGGCAGGCCCAGCCCTGGCGAGCCCCTTCCACCCCAGAGCCCATGTCCACGCAGACCCATCTGCCAGACACAAGCCCTCCTGGAGCTCCAGCTTCCTTAGGTGGTGAAGCGGGTAAGCGGGGAGGGTGAGTGGGAAGGAAGGGCATCTTTGCTGACCCCAACGGGAAGGATCTGGTTTCTGGGACAGCAGCCCATGTTAATGCCCAGTAAAAAGAGCAGCTAGAAACATCTGTG